TAGTTGGAAGTAATTCGATAACGTCTTCAATATATTCTAATTATTATTGTGAATTGATAACTGTTAAGAGAGATGAACGTGCTTATGCAAGAATAAAGGGAATTAGAATGAACTGGCAATTTTCAGAAATGCATAAACTCCGACATTCCAGAACTCACTTCTGTATTCGATTAAGCAAGACATAATTAAATAGTAATCCGTATTAGAAACATTATCAATAATTTATTGTAAGGCGTTCGATGCTGTTTTCAACGCATTCATTACTACAAAGCAGCTGATAAGTTAGAAAATAGAACGGCTTTTTTTACCAATAAATCCGATTTTAGTACCTACTTTGAATGTTTTAAGGAATATTGTTTCTTTAAAGTACTCTCCTTCTGTACTAAGTGTATACTGATCAACCTGACTCAGTTTTCTAAAATACTGGAACGATGGATTTTAATTACTACGCATGAGATGAATTTTAATTTCACGGTTGAAATATTCATTAAATTTATTTGAATGATTCTTAAGAGTTAAAATGGTGAAAAAATACAATTGATGTACCCGTCAAGTTCAGCTTCCAAAACATCTTTGACGCGTTATTAAAATTTCTTTGAATTAATGAATCATTTAGATAGATGAGTTATACTGTTTTGTTCAATTTGAAGAACTTTTTCATGGTTAACCAATATCCCGTCTAGAAACATTTCAAACTAGGTACACGGTTTATGTAGAGCTGTCAGTCCACATTGCTGAGTAAAAAACCATATTGAAACAAATGCTTAGTGCTCTCAGGTTTTAAGAGGCTCGCTAATTAGTGTGTCTGTGATCTGGTGTATTACTTAACGAATTAAAGAGTATTTCACAATTATTGTTGAACCTCAGACTGGTCGAAAATAATTTAGATCATAAAATAGTTAGTGCTTACACACTTGATACTACGTTGATAAATTTTAGTGGGAGTAAAATATTTAAAAAAAGATCTTTTAAGATTGATGACATATGGAGCTATAAGTTACTGATAATGAAACATAATGGGCTAAAAATAATAAAAATATTGACCTTCCTGATAATTGTGCCTTCCAAACAGACAATCAGCTAAACACTATTGATAAATGTACTTGTTTATCAGTAGACCGAAAGTGCTTAACATATCATTTTTCAGAAAAAAAACTAAAGAAACATTCCTTAATAAAAAAACTTTAAGGTAATCAAACAGTTCGAATTTCTGTGGAACTAAAACTGTTCAAAAGGTCCACGACGTATTTCCCATGGAATGTTAGCCTGTTATTTACTGTATTGACTTATATGTAGGACTTTATAGTTGGCACAGTGGTGAAATAGAAACAAATATTGTAAATAAATTGATAAGTTTATAATACCCCAATGAGTAGAAACATTAGATTTCCTGACGTTTCGTGTCTCAGTGTAAGCCACTTCTTCATAGAATAAATAACCAAATCAAACTTAATCCAAGTTTAAATAGTACAAAGGAACAACGCAAGAACATTATGTGCGAACGATCAAAAACAGGTCTGAACAAGTCAATGTCATATGATTTCGGTCAAAGTGATTTATGAGCGACATGTATGTGTATGTGTGCACAGAAACGAATATTTCCGACTCAAACTATTGATACAAAAAGCAGTGAAGCTATTTCCAAAACTATGATAAGCAGTATCCAATAAAAGACATCCATATATCATATAACTAATGATTACGAGTTACTTTGTGTCTACTGTATGCTGAACAGTTATGTACAACGTTTACAGAAGTATAATCATTTCTAGCTTTACAGTTATTCGAAAATCCTCAGTGGTATCATTAGAAATTCACAAATAGCTTAACCACTTAAAAGAATGAGTTATTTCATCTACTGTAAAAAATTTCTAGTGAAGCCTATCAAATTAACGGAGAGTAAATTATTTTATGGTTGACGTTTCAATCAGCGTTCCATTTTCAAAGAGTTGGATTTTCATTCAGACGAAAGAATTATGTTGTATGGCTGAGGTGATTCAATTATTCTATCTTTCAGTCATATTTGTCTATTATTCTCCTGTTATAATAATTATTATACTTGATGAACAAGTTAGTAACTATAGTGAATCAGTTCTAGTGGATTAAACACTGCTGTTTGAGACAGTAGCTGTCCATTCAAGTTTAAGTGCGAGCATAAGGGATCCAATTATATAAGGTTGATATATCTTAAACAAAACTAAAACTACATGATGGATTTAATCAATACCCAGTATCCATTAATGTTGCAAACTGTTTAGAATCTATGTATTTGATTATAGTGAAATATCAAAAACAAGAGTATTAGAGCTCAAATAGGTATAGTTAGTCTACATTAAATAACATGTTTATGTTAGAATGATATTTTTGCATTACTAGTTAAACTAGTTAGCCGATCATGATGTTGCATTACTGTTTTTGAAAACCTCCCAAGCGATCACATGAATGATTAATGGATATCGTCATAATGTCATGTAAAAAACAGTTTTGAATGTTCACGGAGATTTTCAGATGAATTTCAACGGATCTGAAGCATAGCAAAACTTTTCCTACCTATTCTGCAGCTATATAATATAATAAATAATTTCGATAACTCGACTGAATTTCTCTTCATTGTGTGACGTTTCGGAAAGGTGCCACATTTATTTATTCACCTTTAACTTGAATATGCAGCATACTTAAGCGGACTAATCAGTCCTAAATAATAACAATTTACATATAATTTATATGAACATTACTAATTCATGTCTTTTACAACCACATTTGCACTTCATCGTAAGCCCTTCTGCCATCCAGGATTTCAAAATCTTATCTATCAGATAAACTATGTCAATTTTTGCTGTTCTCAGGATGTATGAAAATTTACAATAATTGAACTACGTTGTTGCATATGACTACATATGCTGAAGTTAGAGACTATGTGAAGTGGCTATAACCTCTGAGTTCAAACTTTGTTTTAGATGAAAAATAATCTACAAAATGTATACGGATCCCGACAGATAGAATTTTGAAATTTTTTGTACAATTAGAAACTTAATCACTCAAGTTGTTTATTTTTTACTGTAAATTTCTAGAAAACAAAATCACTTATCCAAATGGATTGTTGAATATCACCAACAACACTTTCGTTGGAAGATTTACATATAATTTTTATCGTAACAGCGTTTTTAGTCTGTGGCAACTGTCTGTAGTTATCAAAGGTCTAGAAAGTCTAGTTCAAAACTGTTTGCTAGGCTCATCTATCCTCCATGCCTTTACTTCTTTATATTATGTAATTGAGTTAACAGAAATGTTTCTATTTAATCATTTTTATGACAAAAGTTACCTCTGTCCAGAATTCATGATTATCATTCGCATAACATCGTATTTCAAATTTTAGATTAATACAACTCACATTCATTGTTTATTTTAATGAATTTGTATTTCTTATGGCCCATAAATTCCCTTTTTCACGGAAATGTAACTACTACTGTGCAACCGGTTTCTGATCATACATTACTGTACTGAGTGTAAAATAAAGTAACATATTGGGATATCCTATAACCTACAGAAATCAAATGCTCAAGCTTTTGGAATTAGTTTAATTTGCTTCACTCCTGTCCTCCATATTTAAATAAAAAGACCACTTTCAAATATGTTAATTATCATTATTGTAAAACTAAGTATTGTATAAATGAATTTATATGTAGAATAAATGTGATAGCTTCCACATTATAGTGGTCCTTATAGTTCATTTGCATTTTCTTACTCAATATTTATATATTAAATGACGAAACCTATCGAACTTAAAGGGCAACTAACATGTTGCCTCTAAAAAGTTCGTAAAATCGAGAAATGTCGTTAAATCTCCAAAGATTAGCAACACTATCGACAAGTTAGGAATGAATATGTTGACTTAAGAAATTGATGACAAAAATAACTACATGTTAATTGATTATCTATTTTCTTTCACTTTTTATCGGTTGGCTGGTTGGATTGTTTATATATGGAGCATTTAAGAGAAATGCTTTAATTCGTTTAATTTGAGCATTGTCTGAAAGATTGTCTGTTTTTTGCATTGAGAACATACAATATCCAAGATTTTATACTTATTTACTAAAAATGTTTATTATGCCGGACGAATACTATCAGATTGAATAGGAAAGCTGTGAAACAAGAAATCTGTTGTATTACTGAACTATAGTTTCTCGTAACTGCTATTTCTGTTGTTGGACAATGCTTGGATAGTTATTAATTCATGCTATATTTATGCCAGTACATTCAGAGGGCTTTTGAAAAGTCGTGTTACAGTTCATAAATAAACCTTCTTTGTATACTAAACAATATCTAAAACTATAGTGACTGCTATATTTAACATCACTCACTAATCTATACTTAACACAATGATAGTGAGTATATACAAATAAACTTCAGCACTTTAAATAAACTATGGGACTATCATAATGGTTTGTTGATCATGAGTAAAGTTTATTTACTTTTATAAGGTAACTTACTATATGAGGACAAATTTTATCATCCAATGATTTTCACTTCACTGTTGGTCCAATCAAATCTTAGCCAACTAGAATTTGAGATTTGGGATTGACATACAAACTCGATATACTGTGATATTTCTGACAAAATACTTACAAGAAGAAAGTATGGTTTAGTAGCTGCTTTTAACGTTCATTATTAAATTAATCTATGACAAATCTACCTCATTCCCGAGGAACTTATTCATTTGAATCACAAAAATCCGAGATAAACAAGAGAAAAAAAAATTTGATGATGGAAGTATATGTTTTGGTCCATTACATCGCTACGTTCACTTAAATGATGCAGCAAATTCACAAATATTTACATTTCTCTTGCTACCACATCTTTTATGTGGTTTAGTTAATTATGTCGAGACGCAAGTTTTCCAATATGCTGAACACGAATGGTTTGTAAGATTCGAAAGGACCGATACTCATCTAGGTTTTTACTTGGAGTTGATTACGCAGAAATCAGAAAATTGTGAAACTATGTTCATAACATCATCACAGATACCAAACAATAAATCAGACCATAATGCCACTAAACGTCCAACACAATGGAAAACTATTACATTAGATTTTGAATTCACAATAAAAAATCGAAATGTTTTCAGTCAGAATGAATGTTTTTCCAAATCAAATTGTACATTTACACAAGATAGTTGCAGACATGGACGTAAAAATGTCATAGATTTATCTACATTATCCTCAAAACGTTTTTTATTTGATGACGGTAAGTGTATTATAGAATTAGGGTTACGTAACCCACATATATGCATAAAACTACAAGCAAACCAAGTTGAAGATCCCACAAACCATATGTTACTTAAAAAAGACAGAAAAAGAACTCATAATAATGGTTCTGTTGTGTTAAGACGAATGGATAATGAAACAATCACATTTCCAGATACCATTCATTTTGAAACTGATAACTTTTCATATGCTGGTGATACATGGGTTCTTACTATTGACATTGAACCATATCGTGACTTACTGAGAAATTTAACTTTTGACAGTGATAATAATCATGATGTATGTGCAGATGTGGAAATATGCTTGACAAAAAAGTCAGAGCATAAGACAGATAATTACACATATTATAATGCTGAGAAACCACTTGGAACACAGTGGACACGACTACTGTGTAATGCCTATTTACCAGGTGAATGTCATACCGGGTTGATGCAGTTTTTAATAGGATCACAAGGATGGCCATTGAAAGCACATTGTTGCAAGTTTGATGAACGAACAAATGACGTAAAACAACAACAGCTAAAACAAGGAGAAAAAAGCCAAACTAATATTTTGAAATTTAATTCGTGTGAATACTTGGAAAAAGGTAAAACACGTACTCATCAATCAGCAGTTGCTTTTCTTTTAAGCACAGTTTCATCAAAATTCTGTATCACATTAGAAATGATATTTTATGAACGATTAACGGTGGTTAATTTTCCTATGAATAATCTTGACAATTTTAATCATGTTGACAGTTGTCTAATTATGGATCCATTTTCGCTTCCATGGAGGCTGTTTCTGAATAGATCATCACGTTTAGTGAGAGTAGGACTAGTTCCGGAGCAGAAACCAGATTTGGAACATGAACCAGAATATCTGAAAAGCAGTAAAGAATCATCAAAAATACAAAGCAAACAATCTCATTCAGAAAGGAGCACTATACCAAGCGGTTATCTATATCTCTTCGGTTGTAAGCTTCGTATTCAAGGTTATCAATCAAACGAAACCAATACTCGTGTTATTGAACCAGTTGGAAAGGAAATTTTACAAATCGCGTGCAAAAAATCGGATTTCTATAACGAATCGCTGTTATCTAACCGACTTCGACATTCTGGAATAAACGTTCCGCAAAATAATTTGAATATTCTTTTAATTAAAAATTTACCGAAATATTTACTCAAAAATAATGGTGCTGAACTATTGCAAAGTTTGTGTAATACTAGTGTTATGGACATAAATAGTAAAATATCTAAACGTTTGTTGAAGAAAGCTAGTCAAATTAGTAGCGTACAGGTGGCCATGGAAATAACATGTCAAGAAGTAAGTGATCCAATCAATTTTGTCGGATAGAAAATCACTGTTTATTCATAACTAAGTATTTGTTATTTTGTGCTTTTTATCAGTTTGACCTCACATGATTGAATAAAGATGCGCTGGGTATCCTATTGCATACATACTATGATAAAGTCAAATGAATATGTGCTACGTAACCGCAACCATAAGCATACAATGAATAAAGTTCACCAGTTTTCACGTGAACGTAAGGTTAACTATATGAATATCGATTTCCAAGTATAAGAGCTTCCTATTTGACTCACAGTAACATTCGGTGTTAGTTCGATGGGGAGATTCAGCATTATCTTTTATGATAATGAAATTTTGTTGGGAACTGTTGTCTGAGACATATGTACTGGCTCAGATGGAATAAGAAATCTTGTTGAGCTTCGTTGGCTCCGTTCTAATAACTTCATAATTATAATGACACTACGACCTATACTTCACTTATCGTTAAAAATGTTCCTCCTTTATAGCTGTGGCCATTTACTATCAAAAAAGCAACACAAATTAATTATAGCACATTCTAGTGGAATTCAAATATGGAATAAAAAATACAAATTAGAATGTTGCTTGTTTCCTAAATATCTATGTATTTTTACCAATTCGGACTCTATACAAATAATTTACCTCAAAACAAACAGGCAATAATCTGTTTTATGTGCAATTACAATCTTACTTGAATTAATTAATCGTAATTTGGTTTGATATTTTTGTATTTCTTGCCACTTTTAACTGCATTCAGTTTCCAACTAAATCGTTCTGAAATAAACTGTTAACAGTTTTCAGATGAGTCCCTTGTTAATTCACATTGTTTTGAACTCCGGCTTCTTGGAAAATATTGTTATATGACCTTCTGTCTTTATCAATAACATATTTTGTCGTTATTGGAAACTTAATCAACATGAGATCTATTGCTTTTAATCCCAAACACTGACTATCTCGACCGTAACTTCAACATAATATATACTGTACATAATATGTACTGTAACAATATTTATAAATTTATAACTGTAGATGTTGAAGAAATAGGTATCGAAAGCAATTGTTCTTTTAAACAGTCTTTATTTTTTGAATGTCTAGATTAAGATCTTACCTTGAATCAGAATAATGAATTTTGTAATGTGAATTTAATTGACATTCGTCATTATGAAATTTTACTGTCAATACAGTCACCATGTTTCATAGTTATCTTTCCAGAAACACAGCCATCATTATTCGTATTTGGTTGCATTGAAACAGCCTATCTTTATTTTTTGATTGAGATCATGAATCAATTGATGTTAGACCACCGTTGGAAACCTGGAAGCACTGGACGGCCGTTTCGTCCTAGTATGAGACTCTTCAGCAGTGCGCATCCACGATCCCGCTCCCTGCGGGATTCGAGCCCAGGACCTATCGGTCTCGCGCCCGGCGCTTAACCAACTAGACCACTGAGCCGGCATCCAATGGTGTTAGTGTCTAACATCAACCAATCCACGAAATTGCGCGACCAACTTCCATTGTACTGAGGTAGATAATCGACAGATTAGCTAATGAATTTTTTAAAACCGAAAGAACTTTTGATTCCTCACACTAATCGGCAACTGAAGCTTAAATATCTGTATCTTAATAGGAAATATAAAATTAATTTCAACCCAGATTACAACGTATACCTCAGAGAAAGACCAAAATACTGGGTTCAAATCCAGTATTTCATGAATTTAAATGAATTTTTATTATGACAAATTAAATCTGAACCAGGTTAAATGATCAGCAAAAAAACCTTACACTAAACAATGTGTAACTAAACAAGCACTTTCTTTAAACGATTTTCATCAGAATGCATTTATTTATTGCTTAATGTCATCTATTACCTAAAAATTGTTTGTTGAAAAAATAAGTATTATTTATTGACTCTTCTACAGCACCCATTATTCTTACATATTCATCGAAATCGCATTGAACTTAAACGTTATAGTTCGCTACTTTAGTTTCGATTATAATGTCCGTTATTTTAATGATTAAACTTTAAAGTTAGAAATCAGCCACGCGTATCAAGCTAAGCGGTTATAATAAATTCATTCATTCGACAGATTGGTTGTCAATGAGGAAAGTAAGTGTATTTCTAAAGAGGACTAAAAAAATTACTTCCTGGATAAAGTACTTAATCATGAATAAATTCATAAAAAATAAAATTTTAATATAGTGAAAATTCTCATTTTGACATTTGGTAAATAAAGAAGGAACGAATTGAGCGAAGAAATTTCTTTTCAATTAGTTTCTCATCATGGCTCTACACTATTATATACACTATTATATATGTATGTATACATATACAAATGTAGAGCCATGATGAAAAACCAATTGAAAATAACATTTCAATAAGAATATTCAAACAAAACTTGGTAACGAATGACTATACTTTGTTCCCTTTTAATCCTTGAATATGTCAACATCACCCAGTTCTTGCCAGAAACAGAATTACATAATTTATTAATTTTGAGCAAATATATTGATTTCCTTTTTGAAATACAAGCGGTTTTTATATTTAAAGACTTTTGTTTACACGTCAGTATATTCTAGACGACAATAATTCAAAATATTTTGTCGTCAAGATTCATGTGAGCTAAATTGACAAAACATATATGTAAAGAAAAAAAATATTACTGAATCAGTTTGTTTTTCACAAATCTCAATTCTATTCATCATTACTAATAAAAGTTATAACTAAGCTAAATCCACTTAACACCTTGTTTGAGTTTTGATATTTAGAGGAATGTCAAAAAAAATCAGTTGTAAAAAGTTATCATAATTCAGTAAATTTACAACTAGATCTTAGCACTTTAAAGCTAGGGAGAAGAGAACAAAGATTGGGACGAAAATATGACAAGTTTCAGAATTGTAATTAATAAAATAGTTCTGCCTGGAGTAGAATTTCATATGTGATCAAACTGATTGCCTATTTTATCATACTATATATTACTACCTTCTTGTATACATGTTTTCTGTTACCTGAGGAACAATAAACATCATAAATTGAACTATATAAATGTATATGAAGAATTTACCAGAGTTGTACAGAAATATATATTCAGTATATATGGCAAAACAGATAAAATGTCAACCAACATGTTTTGTCACAAATCAACCATTGTGTTAAATATTTGTATTTAACGAAGTAAATACAGTTGAAAGATACCATGGATGATCAGTATCAAGGTTTTAAGAACTAAGATTTCTTAACAAAACTTAAGGTTAAACACTATGGATCATATTTTTTCTGTCATTTTCACGATTTATTGAAAAACTTTAATTGGTTTTCAAACAATGTGTATAAAGTTAGACGTACCGATGTTACGTCAGATACCATGAACACGCGTTTTATTGATTAAGGTTTTCATGATTCGACTTTTACTATATACTTATGTACTATCGAAGATTTTAAAATGTGCATATGAGTTTACAGGGCCCGATCCGCGGTAAGCATTTTCTAACACTTACTATAGACGACATAACCGATGAATTTATAAATATGTTAATTTACACAAAGGATAAAATCCTGTCTGTTATTGACACTCCAGTTAGCACTATGAATACAATAATTCTTGTATTCTCTCTAATTTTTTTTAAAAAAAGAGTTTTTCAAATGCATCTAATGAACATATGTTGTACATGCTGCAAAAGTGTATTTATTACCGTAAATTTTCTAGGGAAGCAGAAAAGTAAAGATCATTACATACAAAGCAACTGAGGTTTATCGATAACAGTTTTAACTCAAATGAATTCCAGAAAAGCATTTCTCTTTTGTTCTTTGTTTTTTCTGCAGTTAACTGGGTCAAATATGGGAATATTAAATCCTAAAACAGGTACTATTACAATTGAAATTCAGTGGTTGTATAGACATCAAATATACATCGATACACTTTATCAAACAGATGAAATTGGTGCCCGCCAATACCATCAAATGAGGTAATTAAAAATGACAATATTATATCATACTTTATTATTTGTATGTTTAAACTTCTGTCTTAGTGACTGTTCATTGTGCTGTTGTTTACAGTTCAAGACAACCTCATAACAATTTTAAACTAAAATCTTTAAAGATATTTTAATTTCTAAGATCTAAAAAGACCGGTGGCTTGTTTGAAAATCTACGCTACTACTTTCTAACCATTTGAATATCAACAAGTTAACTAGTTTTTCTTTGTTTTAATTATGATGTCAAATAACTGTATAATTTATTCCTGTGTTTATATTTCAATAGTTGCAACCTCTCAGTTTGAAAAATGCAATAAAATTTAATGAGACATCGCATTAGCTAGGATAATTCATTCGAAAGATTAAAGTTAATGTCGATTCCGGAAATGTTTTTCTAACGGCAGATCACTCTTAGGAAAAGTGAATTATCTTCGATTTCTCCTGAGCTGAACTAATAATTTATTTGTAAATTAATTGTAAATCAAGAATCCTGGTTAAATGATCTGTTTGATAATAATTTGTTACTAATCAGTTCTGAGATTTGTCGTCAGGACCGTTCAAGTTAAAGGAAAATGTGAGGTGGTTATGTAGTTTTGTTTGTAAATATGAATGGTGACAATCTAATTGTGTAAGCTCTAGTTTATCGAGCGATTTTATAGACTGTTTTACGCTGAAATGCATTCCAAAAAACTCGAACAAATACAGTTATCTTTATATCAACGTGACTGAGGATCACATAACCTCATCACCCAGAGAAATTCATTGAATTTGCCTCAACTTCCCTATCTAGAATGACAATTTCTGATTGATTTACAAGTGATTCGTTGGAAGACATTATTGATGTTGTCACTTGTTATCTTAAATTTTGCTTTGATATTTGTTATCCTAATGAAACAATTTTAATGAGATTCAATCAACTACCTCCTCAAAGCTAAAAAATTTAAAGATATAATAGGAAAGGCTAAATTCTGCGATGAGTTAAGAAATTAAGCGCCTGAATTTTATGTTTACTGGAAAACTTTTATCTTGTTAAAACTCTTCAAGTATATGGGAGCAATTTAAAGAGCCTGTAGGCACTAAATGGATTAGTGATAACACTCAGATATATGTGCTGTAAATAAGTTTTTTATGAGTCGAAGATTTAATTGTGATTGTCTTATTTGTTCGATTTGGTGGGAACGTCGTTTATCAAGATTTACCAATAATGATGTATTAAAAGTTAGTTTACTTAAAAACCACTTAGAAATTCTTTGGATAATAATGTAGTATTCGTTTCATAAAGAGTGATGAGTATATTCGACATATGTTTCTAAACTACATCTCTGTCTTTAACTTTATTCGAAGAATACTGTTCTAAGTATATTCTTTCCCTCTTTCTGTTCTTTCTTCTCGGATGGTCTGCCACTTTCCAGAAATCTTTAATTATGTGGAAACCTCACCGCACGCATGCCAATTTGTTCCCTAAGATTGGTTTGAAACAAATTAGTCCTTAGAACAGATTGGTCTATGGATAATAGTCCTACAGCAAATCTGTAGACATATAAGACGATTAACTCTGACTAGAGATATGAAAAGCACAACAATTGTACTACTGAATATTCTGTAATGAAGCCTATATCAAATGTTATTCATCTTAGTGTAGGTTTCATATCTGGTTTCTCTTGATCTTCCCATGTTTTGTTGATATCAAGGGCATTTTTTCATCTGACTTATTGTATAAACAGGATGCTTGTTTGTGCCATTACTTGATACCTATTTTTACAGTTTGTAAATCCCTATATTTACCCTATTGTCCCATATTATCCCCCATTATACTCCCCTGGACTTTTAAGAAAAGATTTTCTGTGTTGCTGGAGACAAATACTAAGGTATGGGCGGATGTTTTAATGTCATAATGAATATAGTTGTGGATAGACATTTAAAATCTGGGAGACAACAGGTAAGTGTTATTTTATCAGATACAAACCACTCATCTTATACACTGGTTTCCCTTCCACATTTTCTGATGGAAAGAGATGCAAGTAAAAATCCAATAAACCTATACAACACTATAATCTAGGACATGCACCGTTCTATGAATAGGTTGTAAAGGCTGACCTAACCAGAAACCTATACCCCTGAGTATCCAGGTTATTGACTACTACGAAATTTATACGTTCTTAGAAAAATTACATTCAGCTGCATAGTTTATCAAATGTATAGGAACTTCTATGAAGAATAAAAATGACTTTCTGAAGTGCTATATACTGTGGATTCCATAATGTACTAAATATATCGTAGTGACAAAAACTATTGTCTGTAATGTTATGCAGACTAGTGATATTGTTTTTCTGTTTGAAAAATATTCTTACTTGGTTAATTGAAAGACGTGTTATGGTGCTAACTATCCATTAGAAAGAAAGACAGTTTAGAGTGTGACTTTTGAAGTAAAGTACGAATAGACGTTTAAAATTACAACAGTTAACGTTAGAAACTGATATTACATAAAATTCATACTATCACTAGCTGTAATTGTTTTTCGAGTTTCTTTATGATGGAGATATATGATTCAGGTTTGCTCCTGATTATTTTCTAGATGCATATTATTAGTACAGTTAGTTTGCAAATATATAAGTCTGTTATCCATAATTCATATACAGAATACTATCGTAATGTTTTGTAATAGCAAGGTAAGTTGAAGCAACCTTTTTAAAGAGAGTTTATTGACACTTCGTTTCAGTTAGTGGGATAAAATTAGTAGATTAACCGACCACTTCTTTTAAATAACACTTAAGAATTTAGCTTTATGCATACTTATTTTTGTGAACTGAAGATGTTTGGAAAGATATATTTTTCAGAAAAAGCGTAATACTTCATTGACACTATGATGCCATAATATAGTTCTATGAAATCTTAAGGTATATTCGCTGGTTCAGTGCACCCGGCACTTAGTCTTTCAGTAAACTAGAACACTTTACGTCTTTTTAGGAAGGTATTTCAAGCTTTAGTGAGAATCAGACGTCATAGAATAAATCTAATTTTCAAAATTTATTTATTCTGATGATAACTGAATCTTAATGACATTTTTAGGTATCAAGAAAGATTCAAAATGTCAAAACCACTAAGGTCAAAGTGAACCTGATATTTTTAATAATATTTTGTAAAATTAGTGATCTTAGATGAACCTGACAGTTTTTTTCAAAAAGAATACGATTTAGTGCCGTTAGTAATGTAAGGCAGTCACCAAAAACTGCTCAATAAACGTATTATATTTTATTCAAAACATATGGGATGTCGCAAAATGTTTTTTAAGAGGAAAGTGATCTGGTTAAGTAAAATATGGGCTGAGATACTGAAATGAAAAGAAGTTATTTTCAAAATCGATGACAGCTTTTATCAGCCTACACGGAAATAAAACATTTCTGGGTATTACTCTTTAAATGTTTAAAAATAAACCGTTGATTGTTCATCATAGTAGCATGTGGAGAGTGGTCACGAAAAACGATAAACGTTATTCAACCACTGGTCAATACTCCTCAGCTTGGTGTTAAAAACGACTCGTATATCTATTTGGAAATCTATGTTCCTTTGATATTCATATTAAAACTCCTTTGATTTCTTTTTCAAAGTATTTTCCCTATGTGCTTTATCGAAGTCATATATTTCTGGGTTATGTTATAAATTCATTTCGCTCAGTTGTCGAAAGTTCTCATTTTAGCTCATATTACTGATAACGAGAGCTTTGAAGTCATTTATGAATTCTAGTTATTACTCACAACAAATGAGAGCCGTGACACCAGTTTTCTTTAATCTTAAAAATACTAATCCATAGGATCATATATTAGTCCTTATTATCATCAATACACATATTATCGATATACATTTTTGTATACCAGAAATTGGATGATCATTAAGTCAGTCACTCAGTCATTCATACGCATGAGCCATTGAAAACGATTTTGATTCATGTCATTCAAAGTCTTTAAACACAGGTTATGATAATCACACGCACCCCAGCCAGGTAGTCTACACCTATTAACATGGATAAGTTCACTTGTCAGTAACTACATGGAATGATGCCATGTCTTGGTTTGGCCGCTCCTGGCTTTCTTTCAGCCCACTGAAAATCATCGTCCCTCGAGATAGGTAGTGGTCAGGCATACGTAACACATCTCCCAACCACCGAAGTTGATAGAAATATACTACTTTATCAGTCGACTTCTTATCTTTCTCTGTTACTAACTCAGGCCTTGCTCAATCTGTGGTCCCAAAGTACACGAGCAGTGCTTCGGCAAAACCTATATCAGAATACCAGTGGTCTACAAATATCCTCTACTCTTAATGCCCATGTTTCACATTCAAAAAGTAAGACAGAGTGAACTGCTACGCAGTAAACTCACTCTGTGGTTGGCAGGCGGATATCTCGCTTACGCCATAAATGACCCAAGTTGGCAAAAGCCGAACAAGCTTTCTGAATTTGTGCTGAGATTTCGTCAGGCACAAAACCATCAGACTCCCAAGTACAGTGAAGTGGTCGGTACGTTCAGCTACTCCACCCCTATCTCTAATTCGGGGGCTGATGCAAACTAATCCTGAGGTAACATTTTGCATCCCGAGAGAGAGAACCGCGTTCCAAACGTGCTTGCATTGTTGTTTAGGTTGGTCAGACGACCGCGTTTTGCCAGCGGCTTCACCAAGCAAAATTGTATCCTCTGCTTACCTTAAGTCAACAAGTGAATCTCCTAGTAGAAGATCAATCCCTGAAAGGTCACAATGATAGTGTTACCTTTAAGAATATGTCTATGATAAAGATAAATGAAAATGGCAGTAAGCCATAAACTTTGGCCCGATCACAAGTGACCAAGTGGAGAGTCTGTACACGATTAGTGTACTTCTTTGATACGCCTTTCAATGACAGACTGCCACATAACCCCACGATCAACAGAGTCGAAGCCGCTTTAGGGCCAAGGGATACAACCATATTCAGAAGTCCAAAATTATTTCTACTACAGAATCTGCCGAAAGGTGAATATTTGGTTCATACATCCATGTTCAGGTCTGAAAACATCCTGGTTTCTTGTATTTGCTCTTCACTAACTCTATTTAAAAGCCGAATTGTTACTGAGGCTAATATTTTAGATACCGTATCGATTAAATTGATTACTTTGAGATTGTTACAAGGAAATTTTTGTCCTTTCTTATAAACTGGGACGATCGGTGATCGAAACCAGTTAGATGGGATTACATCCAGTTACCAGATTTTAACTAAGATTTCAATTAATGGAACTGCTAAAACTGGACCACCAACCTTAAAAATCTCGGGTGTTAGTCAATTAGGCCCTGGTGCTATCCATCACTTAGATTACCAATAACCTTATCAACCTCATTAAGATTTCAAGGACTTACATCAGTTTGCCTTCAGGTTACTTGGAGATAGCAGGTAACTGAATTACCGCTAAAGGCCATTCCCCTAGTGTTTTGCCAATCGGTTCAATCTCCTGGATCGAGAGTGGATAATAGTCCTGCCGGATGTTTAATACACGTTTCTTTGATAAGTCTGGACAGTAATCTACTGTTACCCACCGCTGTCTTTTTCATCTCTTCCGCTTTTGCTACTCACCACTACTCACGATCATTAGGTAGGCTTTTTATAAACTTACGTCTAAGCTGCCTTCGCTCCAAATCATGTTCAGAACCAGATGTAATGAGTTTCCAAGCATCTGTCAGGTTTGTAGACGGAGCTGAAATCCACTGATTTTTTCTAACCTAGTGGTTCGAGTTACTAGTGGATGTCATTACTGTTTCTACAACATTTTGGATATCATGCCAAGCTACCTTAGGGTGGATATCACTTTTAAAGTTGATTAACTCTGTTAGGATAGTCGGAAAAATATACCAATAATTATCGTGTTAAGTCTATGGTGTCCTTGAACCTTAAATGTACATTTCTTATTGGTCGATGTTTATTTCACTTGTTAAATATTTTGTAAATGTTGTTTCCTATTTTATGGTACGATGTGGTATGCTTGATTGGTATATAAACAAAGTATGTTTGAAATATAATGATTCATAACTCAGAGGCTGTGACTTGCGTTCTTGACTCAACTGGCTAGGACAGACTGCGAAGCGGGACCAATCAGGGCACTAGGTCGTCCATACGTGTTTTCCGTGTCCACTGTCACAGAGGCGATCGATAAATACGCTGCTTATCAAAACCTGCAAGTCCACACACGTTATAGCAAACTCCTCTAGTTGTCCGTGAAATATATTCTTAACTTTTTCATAATCAAATTGAACTGTATGGGGTTATCTTGCCGCGGTTTTCTACGTTCAGCAAAACAAAGACAAATATGTGTTCTGTGTATAAACATATACTCTAGAGTAAACTACAGTCTTGTATCGAGCCTCTCTAATTATAGCTATTTGAATCCATCGATGGGTCGATTGTGGATGATGTCACGTCGGACAATGTTTCTCCTTATGTTTAAAGTTAGTGTCTACAAAAAATAAAGTTCTCTGAGCATAGCCGCGACAGACGGTCGGCGTTATCTGAGGTGCAACACCGTAAGAACTGTATAAGTGCCTTTCGGTTTGGTTTAGTTTACGTACTTCAGCAGTAAAATCTCCAAGATTAGATTTATTAAAATGACGACTAGAGAAACTAAGAGGTACTGATGCACAAAATTTACTAATGTGAACCAGTCAAAACAAAAGCATTCAGAGATGCGAAACGTGTCTGAAAATATCTTTTAAATTAAAAACGCCTTAGCGACAAATAGAATTTAGTTTTCATTGCGAAGCATTACAAGTCATTGAGATGTTACTAGATGAATTAAAAACTTTTTTTCAAAAAAGGGATTGAAACTTATTTAAGGCGTGGTACATACGTGGGAAAACGAACCTTTGTTGAAAAATCTGATTGAAAATATTTGTTTCATACTGCGCTTTTATACGAATAATGAGAAGTATATTATGAAAATAAAAATTTAGTGATAAATATAAATACGGAAATTTCGAAAAGAAAAACATTTTTTGATGCAAACAACTGAGAAATAATCCGTGAACAATTTTAATATAGTGTGAGTCCATCCATATTTGACCTTTTCTTTGTAAGATTACCATGGATACGATGGGTAGAGAGACATTGAACGGTTTAATTTCATGTTTGTAGCTTCCAAAGTGATAAAATTACTGAACATAAATAATATCTAATTCAGATCTATAAAAAGTCCAAAATATCAGACAGTGTAACATTTTTCATGTATTTTCCAATTAATACGATTAGAGGATAATTTGATGGGTTTATCCAAGACGGGACAATTCACTAACAGTGTATAAATCTCAGTACTACAAACCAATAGTACTCCTGAAACTATAAAGTTAGTGTGAAAACATATATTACCATGTGCGATCTGCGGCTTCGTTAGCCAATAAAAGTCTTTGTGACCCATACCTTTTGTCATTCGTACGTTGTAATACAATATATTTTAAATTCATCTGACTCACCGTTTTCGATTGCCTTTTGCCAGTTATCATCTACGGCCTAAATTATATTTTATTTTTTTGCTTAACCTAACGATGATAACGAAAGGGACGGAAGAAAGCCATTATAGGCTGAAGTTTATCTGCGGATTAGCCCGGACAATTAAGTGATTCTGTCCCAACTTTATCGCTTCACATGACGTAATAAATAGATCAAACTAACATTTGTGGAAGGGAATGTTTGTTCTGTCAGTAATTGTTCTACATTTGAGTTGAAGATAAATTTTATTTACAAAAGTTTTTCCAAAGTTTCCAAATATAACAAACAAGATACACCGAGCATTAAACCAATATAATATGGAATCTATCAACTGTTTATTAATTTATTACTGTGAAACTTATATTTGTTATCTATATTTTTAAAAAATAGTAATTTTTCCATTGAATCAGTATCATGATCTTACTAAATGAAATCTGGGTGAGGGAACCTAAATGAACATACTTTTTTACAGTATTAATCTCTGAAGTGGTGTTCATTATAACAGCTGATGCTCTGTGTTTCGAAGGCTAGACGTTTGGCCTCTGAACATACAGTTTAAACTCTCCTTCACCTACATTCTTTTAATTAACCGTCAATTACTAATGGATAACACAAAAAAATCCCTCTAAACTAGCATTTGCAATATTAAACGTAAGTGAGAACTAGGATGTGTGATCAATTATGAACGAAAAAGAGATTCATCAGCGTGTTGACATAAATCGGATATCAGTTTAAAATAGCCTCCAAAAGTTTCATATTCACAACCGAATTCCTGAGCAGAAACATAACAGTCACACAGTGTTATTGTTGTTCACTGATTTCTAAAGTACTGGTTAGATATTTATCTATAACTCTAGTTGACCAGCTGACTGGCTGATTTCATTTTTTTTTGTCTACTACTGGTTTTACAATGGTTATAATTTTTTAAGTGTGTTTGAAGATAAAGATTATTTTATTAAAACATTCCAAGTAATGATGTAAATATAGCTTAGCGATTTTCAAGACCATTGAGTTGAATGATAAATCATTATCAATGTCATGTTCTTTTTAAATTCACTAACAACATAGCTACTAGAAAAATATCAGCTAGTCCTGCAACAATAATTAATTATATATCTTAATACCGTCGTATTTTATCCATCTAGAAGAACTACCCATGATTTAGACGATTTTTTTAAATTTATACGTTTTGTCCCAGTAAACTTTCAGCTAATGTGTTTATCATTTGCAAGTAGTGTAGCTATTGTTATGCAAGATACTTTGTTACGTGGTCATGATTTATTCAAAAAAGAGATACATTTAATTGTTTTCTCTTTCATCCGCACTAACCACAAATGAATCGATAAATCCAAGATGGATATGGGAAAAATAGTTCCTATCCGTTATGTTTCGTTGGATACGTTATTTAACAGTTTTCATGTTATTTCGGAGGTTATTTGTTGATAGACGATTTAAAGGCTGAAAGATATTTTAAGTTACTAATCTATTAATCATAGGACTTTTTAATTTTATTAATTTTACCAGAAATGAACTAATAAGAATCACTAAAGAAAAGGATGAGTTAGAAAGACAGCTTATGGGGTACCGAATGGGTCTAGTTCAAATTGATTCGCGTTCTCATGGTCCAAAAAGCATGCTTCCTTTGGAGTTCATTCCTGGTCTGGTTGGTCATTCCACAACAACTACTGTACCATCAGGTGAAGACTGGCATAACTCCAGTTGTTATAGTGAAAAAGCTGTGTTACAGCAACCATGTTACAGAATGAACAATACTGTGTCTAGCTTGAAATATGAATGTAATAATCAACATACAAAATCACATGCAACATCTTCGCCATCAAACTATTCTTCAGATAAATTGAAAGCATGCAAACCGTATGGTTTATTATCAACATGCCATATAGAGAACAATATGAGCCATAGTTTGCTAGACTATGAGTCTTCAGATGAATCAGCCCCAAGGTCATCATATCCTATTTATCGACCAACCTCAAAGCAACCTATGAGTTCCAAGTGTGGGTAAGTTACAAGAGCCATAGTCCAGTTGCTCTTCGTGTTTTTAATACATCTGAATAAATAAAGATATAGGAACCAGAGTAGTGAAGTTTAAAATAGGCAGAAAACGTATTTAACTGGGCAAAGCTACTACTTAAATAACTGAAAAATGTTATCAATTTAAGAAATAAAGTAAATAACTTAAAATATATGGATTTTTCTAGTATTGATAAAAATTTAAAATGTTTTAAAATCTTTTTAAGGTTGGTAGATTTTGGTTAGTATTAGACTTTGTGACGTGCATTTCGTTCTTTTAAGGATTCGGTAGTTGAATGTACCGTAGCTACAATGGTAATGTTCACTTTCTTGAACCTTGTACCTTCTAATTTAAATGTCGGCGCGTTGTCTTCAGATCTCATGATTTTAGTGAACCATTAACATGTTTAAGGGGTATGATCGTAACTGTGAGAACTGGATAAGAAGCAGTGAGAAGCTGAGATTTACGAAAGACAATGATAAAATCAAAAAACCAAAAGAAACCTTATAAGCGGAGATGGACGGTGGCTGACAGTGGAAACCAGGACTCACGTTCCATCCTACTTGGGACTCATTAGCTGGATGTACTTGCAGTCCTAAACATCAACGGGAAGATTCAAACAAACAAAACAAAAATGTGTTACAACAAGAACCTGTTAAACAAATAGTCTTATTCATATAGAGGTTTTGTTGTTTAGTCAAGGAATACTACTTATCGCTGAAATAGTGAAAATACAACAAGATTTTACGATGGAATTATGTTACCGAATGTTATACTGAAAAAACATCATACAGAATCCAAACGTGATTTTGTGTTTTATCTCACAATTTTTTGTACAGCTAATAGGATCATATTTTAGTGGCACAAAAAACAAAAATGCTGACATAACTACGTAAAATTGTGAACACTTACTTAATGTGTTATTTATACTTGGTTGGAATGCTAGATTCCGTGAGACCATTCATTTAGTATCCTAACCATAATAATATAATAAAGGGCTTGAAAATAAAGCATGAAACTTACTTGGAGGTTTAATTTATTGATGATATTACCCGGTAGAACTTTCGCACATATACGGGCAATTATTTACTAACATTTTAATTCAGTATTCATCGTCTCTTGGTTAAGAGTACTGAATACATTTTTGAGCAGAATACATTTATTAGGACTCAGTTTCTGCAAGCTGTTAACTCAAAGAACGAACACCATTAGTAATGTCTGTGAATGATCAACCGTAAGTTATTTCTTGCATTCAGTTGTTACTGCAAGTTGTTGTTAAAGAGTAACATAATGTAAAGATATTTCCCCATCATGTCAATTGTCCAACTATCATCAAAATTATATATACATATTCTCCAAGGAGAACGAAAGCATCATAACAATAAAGCTATTTAAAAGCTGGATCACAAAAGATAAACGTCGAGAAAGTATGAATCCAAGACCCTTGTCTTCAAATCTGGTTGGTTTCAATATCCATCAAGAAACGTTTACGATTTTATTAAACACAATTTGTCAGAAACTTGAATAAAAGGTCAGAAGTGTGGTTTCCTTGAGATAGCTCGATAACCTTTCTTTCGAGACGAGAAATGACTGAACAGGATACTTTATTCAGTTGAGTATAGTACATTGACGGTCAGTTCGTATAGAAAACAAAAGGATTTTCCATTTCTTTTCTGGAAGCACCATTATAAATACGTAAGCCCTGTAAGTTACTATACTGGTTGATTGATTTATTATGGAACACTGAATTACGTCAAACAAACTGGAACTTAAGTGATGATTACCTCAACAGAAGCCGATAATTCGCATTTTAGTTCTCAATTAGTTCAAGTCACAAGGACCTGGAAAGTTAATTATATTAATATTAATAATAATAATAATCTTGAGTCGTTAATTTACAGGAAACCTAAGAGTATCGTTTAGCGCTTGATAAAGAAATTTAAACACTGAATCTGAGTCACCGTTAATAGAAAACACATATTTCCAGAAAGCTGCTGATAAAATTTTATTATAAACCCGAAATGTTTTTCAAGTTGACTTTCAATCACCGAATAAAAGCACTATCTTTCAGAATAGCAAATCCCTGGACAATCATATCGAGAAAATAAATCTTTTAGCATTAATAGTGTTTATAACCATAATTCATTTGGTAGTCCTAAAACATTAAACGGATTTACTTTTCAAATCAATTAGTTAATGACAATTTGAATCGCTCATATTTTTTTAATTCATAAATTCGTTAAATTCAAGGTATTAACATTTTGCTCTTTCAAAGTCATATGTTTTTGCAAACTCAATTTTGAAAACATCTTTCTGAACTAACTTAAATTTTGTTGACCAACTAAACAAGTTTCATCACGTTTTTTAAGGTCAATACTCACTGGTTTGAACGTTTAGTGATGACTATTCTGCTGTGAAATTCTAGAAAATCCAGACTACTGTAAATGGTCAGGAATTGAAAGATTCATAATTTCTTTTGCTCAGATTCAAATTACTTATAAAGATAGAAGCTATTAAAATACAAATAATGGGAGTGTGAAAAGTAGTAAATAAAATTAGGTATAGGCAATATGATAAAATTTCAATAGAAAGTCCGGTAACTGCAGTTTAGTAATAAATCTGTTAACCCATAAACCTTGTGACTTAGTGTTTCTCAGAAAATATGATCACTTAAAACAATTAGTCCCTTTGATAAATTTCGATAATGCAATGAGAAGACGAAGTTTTTCAGAATTATGTGATATATTTGCGCAATACATTTCGAACAATCTGATCACACATATACTTGTTAAGAACATTTATATATGAAAAATTAAAAGGTCAACTAGACAGGTTAAGGGTAAGTCATAACAAAGGAAAAAATATTAAAGTACACAAAAACAAATGTGATTACCACTCTGGACAGTAAATCAGTACTACCAGGGTAGGTTAAGTGTAAGTACAAATTGTTTTTGAACACATAAAGGGGGTTTCAATTTTCGTATAGCCAAGGCTTCAATAAACCTTCGTATACGTCCTTGAAGGCTTTTGTACAACAAACAAATGCTGATTTGATATCAACCTTATGACCCGTCTCAATCAAATGTTTCGCAATGGATGATGATGTCTGTCTATCCTGTGATCTCATTTCATCATTGGAATTCATCTGATTCTGCAACCATTTTGGTATATTTTCACCCACCCTTAATTGCAAATCATATATAAATGTTCTTAACAAGTATATGTGTGATCGGATTGTTCGAAATGTATTGCGCAAATATATCACATAATTCTGATAAACTACGTCTTCTCATTGCATTATCGAAAATTATCACTTAAGTTAACATGAATGTGAAATATATTTTAATGTCTTTGCATAAATTTTGAATTATAAAGGTACCTAATACCTGTTTATCAATGCACATTACCATATAAAGCTAACAACTTATTATCTGTGCTAGTAAATCTGGTCGACATTTGTTTCGTGATACTGTCTTCATTCAAAATGAACGACTTTTAAGTTTGTTACTGATCCTTTCAATTTATTGTCACCTTTATAATTGTCTAAAAATTATTTTTTTCAAAACTTGGAACGAGAACAACAAGTCTTTGGATTTCCTTGGGATCTGATACTCAATTATAAGTGCTGGTAACCTAATAACCAAAGTAAATACTTTGTTGCTCAAGAATTAATAGCACATATAAGACTGCAGATAAAGGGCTATTTACTAGAATGCTGTTTTGTCCAAAATAAAACGAGATTATAATATAGACTTCAATGAACCGGAGGAAATCACCTTATGAGGATTTTAGTATCAATAAATAGACTTAAAATTTTACTACGAAATTATAGATTCCGAAGCTTTTATTTGCTTTTTACTACAGTGCTCAATGTGATATTTTTTGTTGAATTTTACTGTTTCTGTAGACTATCAGAGAAAAGAAAACAGTTCATATATTCAAAAGGTAGCTGGAAAACATGTGAAACAGTTAAGTATTGCCCTGATTCTGACATTAATTCAGTACACTCACGCAGATTTAACGCAAGGAAACCAAGCCTAAATAAATATTGTAGTCAAGGTTTTGTAGAGGCAAATTTTAGCCCTCTTTATACATCAGAATCATCGACATCAAATGTATTTAACTCACGTAGTGAAGATGAATTTTCTTTTATATTTTGATGAAGTACATTGCTGATATTATAACACACGTCGTTATGAGTCATGTTATTTGAGTTATCTCATCTTTGATTAATAAACCACATACAACAATTTAAAATGAACTGTTACTTAAATTTCTCAAACATATTTGTCTTCATGCATTTTCATACATAAAACGCTTTTATATTTCTTTCTCACTAGTTCATCTTCAATCCTTACTTTAGTTACAAAACTAGCGGAGTTTTGTAATTGTGAAATAAAACTAACTATTTATACAATTCAATAAAGTGTGATGTGTATACTTGGAGTTCTTTAAAAAATTTAACCCAAGTTTCTAAAAAAATCTTTATTTGGCCATTTCCAAATACAAATCAGTTTTGTTTTCATTTATTCTATCTTTATTAAATCTCATAAGTATAATTTATGTCAATGAAGCATTGAAATTCATGTTTCAATAAATATAATAACACTAAAGAAACTTTCTGTTTTACTGCCATAATTATATAGAAATAACTGACTTGCTTCCAGTTAATCTGAACAGATCCGTGTTATTTGAAAAGAATATATAATTATTTCTAACTCAAATCTGCCGAACACTTAGTCCATTTCGGTGTGTACTAAGTAACATAAATCAATATTGGATCTAATAGGTGGCTTATGAACTCAATTGTTTTATATATTCAAGACTAGCGTATGTTTATTAAATAAATGGCGTCTCATATTAAGTTGTCAAAAATTTGTAAAGCGCTGAATTTACTGTAACTATATAACACCAGTAGTCAAAACTTGATCATTAATAATTTCATATATTTTCATTGGACCACAATACTTGGAAAGCTTGGAACATTCTTTTTCCTCATATTGTTAGAATTAATAGTTAGTTCAGATACATAAATCCGATTTTTAACGTAGCAAAACTAGTTACCTTGTACTGATATTTCCTTACCGTAAAACAAATTGTATTTTGTTTTAGTAGTACGTGTGATCAAACATCTGACATCTATTCATAAAAGGTCTTGTCATTTCTGAAGTAGATAAACAGTTGAGTTGATTAATATTACATCGGTTCATAAGATACATCAATAGTGACATCAAGCCTAGTCGTTCATTTTGTCCCATAAATATATAGAAGCATAAACTGAGTGACTAAATTTATCAAATACTGGTGTTTTAACACTACCATTTTAGAAAAATGGAATATTATTAGAATAAACTAAATCTGTGTGTTGCTCAGTCTGATTTTTATCAGATCGGCTGAATTGATGAAAAAACATAATCAAACGTTTGCTGATAAGAAGTAACTCTCTAAAAAGGCCCAGAATTATTATTCGTTCTATCAGAAATGAAGCTACTAATATAAATCAGCAATATATCATGTCTACTAAACTTTTTATTATTAATGCCAGTTAGCAGAAAACTATCTCAATTTAAATAACCCATATAGTAAGAAATCAGTTTAACAGTCTTCTAATGTCAATCTGTTGCGAAACATTTATTTTTTAGCTTCAATATTCCTTCCATATATTTGCTCTTAAGACCCATTTTTATTAATATTGTCCAAAGAATCTAATCTATCACTAAATGCAACACTAGAACAATAAAATCTGTCTCATTAGGTAAAAACTTTTAATCGCTTTTGTGTAGTTGTAATAATTCGGTCAGTCAATTGCAATGTTATTTACTTCTGTATAGAAATTACTTTGTTCAGTCCTGCAGACCAAATAGATACGTTTTGTCAAATAGTTTTTGCTTCGGTTTCATTGGACCTAGGAAAGTATTAAGCCTAATGGTCAATACACTCCAGTTAAGTGTCGTGACAAACATCGCTTTTCTTCAAACAGCTTCTCTTCAGCTGTAAGAATGGCTAAATTGTTCATAAAAAGAAGCCTACAGATTAGAAGCTATTGATTATTAGTTATTACAACCAAGCACCAGTTCAAAGGTGCGCAGCTTAATACTTTTACTGAATAAATCCCTTATTTTTTCGAAAAATCCAAGTCTTCCATGATTCGTCCTGTTAACCTCAGTTACAAATGACACTAAAACCATCGTTATCCTGTTCAGAGATCAGTTTGTGACTATTTATAAATTTCCAGATAACTTTGGTTTACAACCCCTACATAATACTGATTTATTTTCCGTAGGACCTGATAGTAAAGATTTACTACTTATTTTCTTCAAGCGTATGTGTTTACAGTTACGCTATGCAGTATACCTCATTTTGTATGCATTTCAGTATCTGAAAAATCATTTTTGCCAGTTTTCTTTAGTACATGTGAACCCTTTTTAGAAATATCGACATTGTCTCTAGTTGCAAGTTTAAGAAAATAACAGGATGACAACGATAAAGGTAAATACTGCATACCAGTCTCAACATACATAACAAAACTGTGACATATATAAATCCAAATGACGAATCCCATATCGTACGCAACTTGCGTACTGATTATCATTGCTAACCATCATCTAAAAAACTATTTCCTTAGACCTATTTAGCTTTTCACTTACATTTTTAGGTTTCATGCAGTTCCGAATTCCGTACGATAACGTCATATGATTAGTTTTGAAATCTTAAGAAGGTTTTTCATCATGATAACACTTTCCGTACGTTTGGATTATTATGAACACGTAGTGTAATAATTGATTTACATTCAAGTGATGTAAGAAACTATATATATATATATATATATATATATATATATATATATATATATATATATATATATATTATATAAATTCTTTGCATTTTCTTTGTGTTTATGATTCAGGAGAATAAGTTCGTGATTAAACAAATCAATCATAGTGAATGTAACCAATTTGAATTTAAATTGTTGTGTAAAAATGATGAAATTTACTAGTTCGAATGAGTGCGATAAATTCCTAATAAAAAAAGCACACATTTGACGACTTCGCAAAATCTAAGTGAGTGGATATATGAATGTCTGTCAAAATCATTTGATTCATAATTTATAATATTTTATCGTGTTCAAGTCAAACATCTTTGAAAATGCGTTTGGTATTCATAGTTTACTGAAATTAAAACCAGTTGAAATATTCAAGATCAGCTGATTAGGTTTGTCTGTTTTTATTTATGTTAAAATGATATGAAGTTCATTTCAGTCTTATTAATCACCACATTTTTAGCCAGTATTACTCTGGTTCACTAATTCAGCTTTTACGTTATAAAAACTTGGCTTAAGCTTAGATTTAACGAAAGAAATATTAAAATGAATTAGGTTTCTGCATATATCTCAGCACTGGAAGAAAATGAATATTTCTATAAGCATAGAAGTTTGTGATTTAGAATAACTTTTTCACAGTTTAACTACCAAACTGATTTTAGCTAGACCACGGTTAAAAACTTGGAAGTACTGGGTGGCTGTTACACCCTAATATGGTACTGCTCAGCAGTAAGCATCCATGACCATAAATCCGGAAATCAAACCCAGCATCTCCATTTGAGTGCATACTGTGAAAATCCTTTACGTTTCGTAAATCCCCTATACTAAAATAATCACTGTTCAAAGTCTTAGGTAAATGAGGATTGTGGTAAGTCATGCGACACCAAACGGCTCCATCTAAACAGTTTAGTTAAATAAATCTTGTTTAGTGTTCTAATATATTCATATATATACTATCACTGAGACTGATTTCGTACATGATCGTTAGTTTCAAGATGTGATGCGTATTGATGTGAATATAAATACCTATTCTGAAGTTGGTTTACGTATACAGTTTTCTCGTGTTAAATAATAGAAAGAACCCGAAATATTTTATAAGTCCGTGTGTGTCATCATATCACATGGGCAGTTCAAAGTAAATCAACTGATCGGAATATGCAAAACCGTAACCCTCAAAGTTAACTGATATATGGATTACTGCTCTTGATTATTGATAAAGTAATAGTCCCTAAATTTTCTAAGTAACCCACTCACCTATTTTCGATTTTCGTATACATTTTGTGAGATTACAAATGAACTTTGAAATCAATCATTTTTATGATGTTGTAATCTTAGAGGGTGGGTTTCGATATTTTATCAGAGAAATAAACATTCAGAAACTTATTTTTGTATCGGTTGTTGCAATCTTCTCATCGATACTTGGGACTAAAATGGATCAATCTCTTATTGGTATATGTACAACCTATGCGCATTACCTCTATGTTGCCTCAAGTCACAGCTGACGTGTCCAAGACGGGACGAAATGCACGTCTTGGATTCCACTGCTAGCCACCATCCTCCTCTGCTTATTCAGAAAATTAGTATCATATCTTTTCAAAACGAGACCCAACATCTAACTCCTATTATATTCATTTTCACTATGCATTTTAATAATTTGTACAGCCTATTGCAAAATAGCAAGTTTGCTTTAGGTTGCCATAAACCCTATGTAAAAGGCAATACCAGATGTGGTAGCTTTCGTTTCTTATCTTGCTGTGGTAGTCATATCGCTTTTCATACTTACACTTATTATCACAATGTTCGAACTCATGAATAATTATGAGGCCCCATTACATCCTTTATCTGCTTACTTAAAAGGTAATTTACTCTATCTTTTTTGCATGGTGTGTAAATTCTCAAGTTGAATTAACTGATAAGTATTTTAACTGATCTCATTGTTCAATCTTGACATAAATTTAAAATATCTGTAGAGAGGATTTCTTTCTACTGTGAACCAATAAAATACCCAAGAAAACGAAACTATCATGACTCTTTTCAAATGCTTCAGTGTTGACACTTGTTTTGTTCTCTTTGTTGCCTTTTTTCAAAAGTTTTCATTAATTGACCCATTCGATGCTACTTCCATACCTTTTTTCTACGTAGGGGACTATTCAGTGCTTCTAAAAATTAAAAATAAAATTCAGGTTTCACAGTTGTGACTTATGAGCATTTGACAAAATATCGATATTTTCAAAACCATTATCATAACTTATACATGTTTTTCTTTTGATGGAGTTTTGTTCTCTGAGATGGATGGTTTGGTTGTGGAGCTTTCATCGTTCTTCCTAACGACATCATCAG